CCCGCCGCACTGGGACTCAGGGGCTCGGAGACCAGGTCTTTCGTGTCGCTGCTCCGAGCTCCACCCGCTCCTTGTCGAGGTGCAGAAGGACCGGTCCCGCCACCTACCGGGGCGAGAAAGGGGTGGAGGAGGCGGCACCGGACTCACCTGAAGAGTCGGTCCCGGCCCTGGGTCTGGTTGGCGAAGCGGATGAAGGTGTCCATGGCCCCACACCCAAGGTTGCGCGGGGCAGGCTCGGCCGCGGGCCCTCTGGGACGCCGCGGGTCCAGGGGAGCGTCGCAGCCCTGCTAAGGGCGGGAGAGCTGGGCCGAGCTTCCGCCCACGTGGGGGCGGACACACCTTCCGAAGCGCCTCTTCCCGGGCTTCCGGTCGGAGCCGGAAGAGGTGGTTACTAAGGCGACGCAGGACGCCCGGCCGGGTGAGCAGTACTTGGGTTTTCTAAGCTCAGGGGACACGGCTCCCTTGGTGTCCGAGGACTTGATTGCTAGTTGGGTGTCGAGTGGAGGCTCTGAGGGGGCGCTTCATCCCCTTCATAGGTGTCCTCGAGCCTCCGCGGAGACTCCGGGTGAGAGAGAACTCAAGGTGGAATATTGAACCTACACAGCCCGGGACCTCCCCTTGAGCCTTTGCTTGCAGACGCGGGGCCTCATAATGTCCCAGAGCGGTGGCTCTCAACCCTTGATGCAGCTCCAAGTCTGGTGAAGAAAATGCTCAGAGCAGAATGAGCCTGTTCCTGGAATGCATTCCTAGCTTGGGGGGAGGCAGGTAAAGTGAGAATGTTCTATTAGGATTACTGAACGATTACTACCTGAGGAAATCCTAAAAGGGTAAACATGAACAAAAAATAGAGTAAAAGGAGATTACAGTGAAACTGCACCACTGAATATTCGTTCTGCAAGGCTTCAAGATACAGCCCCACTCATGACATAACTAATTTTATAAGATGTACCCCCTATAGTCACAAATAAAGTCACATTTGTTTGTTTTTGTGGTACTGGGGATTGAACCCAGGGCTTTCACAGAAGTACAACCCCAGAAACTTAAAATTTTATTATTTTTTTTTTGAGACAAGGCCTCACAACGTAGTTCAGGCTGGCCTCGAACTTGAAAGGATCCTTCTGCCTCAGTCTTGTGAGTTGTGGGATTACAGGCTTGTGCCACCACACCTGGCAAAGCATTTTTAAGAGAGGAATTTGCCAAGTTGCTAAATTGACCAGGCTGGGCTCAAACTTGCAGTCCCCTGCCTCAGCCTCCCAGAGTGCTGGGATTACAGTCATATACCACCATACTCAGCTAGTTTACCTGTTTTTGTGAGGCAGGCAGAAGAACCACTGAGCTCAAACCCCGGCATAGTTTACCTGTCTGTAATCTTTCCCCAGTCTTTTCACACTAAATTTACTCTTCTGGTTTCTGGCTCCACCTACCAGTCTCCAAGTTACCTGCAAGCAGTGTAGATCTCCAAGTGCTGCCCCTGCTGCGCAAACAACCTTGCCTTAGGCACATTTCAAGTACAGAAATGCTCCCTTGCATTATCTGCTGAATCTGAATGTGGGAGAAAGCTGGGAAAAGCTCATACAGGACGTGGCATTGTTTGGGCAGTTATTTTAGGGCTATAGGTATGCACAACATGGCCTAGATCATTGATAGCAAAACTTCTAGAGCTTTCAGTGATACTAAACAGCCAGCTGTGACACGTGTACCATAGGTTTGCCGACATTAGTCTATAGTCTATGAAAAAGAAACTAGGCTGTGGGCAGTACATCTCCTTGGCCCCATGGATTACTCACCCTTTACAGAGGGAAGTGCCTTTCAGAGAGCCAGAAGTTTTCTCTAAGTACGTGGCTCAGAGCAGGGCAGTACTATGAACAATAAGAACTCTGTGAGTTTTGGCCATGTACCAATTACTGTACTAATTTCTAGGCTGAGGGTAATAGGTTAGTAAGGGACACAGTAAATCAAGAAGTACAGTGTGTGGGCCAGGGATTTAGCTCTGTGACACTGCACCTGCCTTGACCTGAGTTCCATCCCTGGTACCCCCCAAAAAAGAAGTACAGTGTGTTGTTACATGATAGAGACAAACTGCTAAGCATGGATTTATGTCATGTTTTCTATGCCTGATTTTGCCTTTTCCAATATCTATATTTTTTGGGTACTGGGGATTGAACTCGGGACCTTGCGCTTGCAAGTCAGGCAGCAGAACCACTGAAATCCCAGCTCCACAATATTAAATAAGTTGAATCATGTAGTATGTGACTTTTTCTATCTGACTTATTTTATTTAGCATAATGCAGTTGAGCTTCATTTATGTGAACATATTACTTATTTATGATTTTTATTGCTGAGAAAAATTTTTTTTTATTTTTTATTTTTTTGGTACCAGGGATTGAACTCGGGTCCTTGTGCTTGCGAGAAGGCAGGTGACAGAACCACTGAGTTAAATCCCTGGCCCCGCTGAGATATTTCTTAATGTGGATGAATCATAGTTCCCTATCCATTTGCCCACTGAAGTATATTTGTATGGTCTTCAGTTCAGGGCAATTACAAATGAAGTTTTTGTTTTTGTTTTTGTTTTTCCCTGCAGAGTTTTGGTCCTATTCCTTTTTAATTCATCTATTCTTCTCTTTTAGAATGAGTATGTTTACCTTGTGCCATTGTATCTTGGGGTTATTTAATTTTTGAAAAATTTTACCGTGGTGCATAGCTAAGAATTGTCTTGATTCGCAAAAGAGACTTTGGACTTGGACTGTATGGGAACTGCTGAGACTTTGGAGGAAGGAATTAGTGTGTTTTCAGTTATATGCAGGATGGTTACATCTTTTAGATTGAAGTATAACCTTATTTTAGGAGACATCCCTGCCTCGTACTAGCAGCCTATGAGTGTCATGTGCTTCTTGACTTCCATAATTTGACATTGTTTTATATCAGGAGTCAGATGGAAGCTCTGCATGACTCAAATGGGCATGTCAGATGGTGGACTGGGCAAGTACAGTCCCTCTCTCAATGGCTACCACAGATCCTGGTCTGTGCAGTGGCAGGACTGCTGAGTTACATGCAGTTGAGGTTAGCGTGACCCCAATTAAAACCCTTTCCCCTAAATTATGGCTTCTCACTGACCCAATGGGTTGCATGCTATTTGCACCCGGTCCCAGTACCAGTTTGTTCCATCCAAGCAAGATAAACAGGGCTTATTCCTTAATAGCCCTGCCTGGTGTCATCATGCCAGGTGTTCAGTAGTATTTCACTAGATGCCTTCAAAGCGTACCCTAATCCCTATTCCCTCCCACGATTTTATTCAGTAAAAACTGGATATGCTTGGGGGCCTTTGTCTTTACTGCCATCAGCGGCACTGACCAGATCCTAAAATTCAGCTTCTCCACTCTTAAGTCTTGTTTCTGTCTGTTCTTGAATTCAGCTTGTGCTGTGGTGGCTCACAGGCCAGGACCCAAGGCAGAGGTCCTGGTAACGTTCCTTTCCCTGCTCCCTATACCTTGTTATTGTATTGATTTGGAGAGTAAGTCTGGTTGAAGCAGATGTGACTGGGTGTCAAGTTGACAAAGATTGTACTCTTTTTTTGGTACCGGGGAATGAACTCAGGTCCTTGTGCTTGCAAGGCAGTCCACCAACCGCTGAGCTAAATCCCGGCCCCAAAGATTGTTACTCTTGATTGTCAACTTGATTGGCATGTGTGATGCCAAGGTGATTGGTAGAGCACACTTCTAGATGTGTCTGTGTAGCTCCTGATGGGTGGGTCATGACCTTGGGACTATCTGGTCCCTGATCCCTTCCTCGCTAGCGGTTTCCCTGTCTGTGCTTCCTGGTTGTCATGAGGTGGGCAATTTTCCTTCACGAAGCCCTTCCATCATGTTCCTGCCTTGGACCCAGCTGACTATGGACTGGAACTTCTGAAACCCTGAGCTGGAATAAATCTTTACTCCTTAAAGTTGTATATGTCAGATATTTTGTCCCAGCAGTGGAAAAGCTAACCAGTACATTCACTAATATTTTTTCTTCTGCCCATCTAATTTGTTTTGCTCTGAAATCTTGTTAATCTAATCTGGTGTATTTTTCATCTCAGAAGTGATAGTTTTGATCCCCAAAAGTTATATTTTGGTTTTGTTTTTGGTTTTGGTTTTTTTTTGTACTGGGGATTGAACTCAGGTCCTTGTGCTTGCAAGGCAAGCAGCAGAACCACTGAGCTAAATCCCTGGCCCTATATTTTGGTCTTTTTTATATTTTCTATGTCAATAATTAACATGTTCAGCATTTCCTCTTGGTTCATAAGCATGTGGAATACAGTTATAATTTTTTTAATCTGCTAATTTTTTTTTTTTTTTTTTTTTTTTTTTTTTGGGGGGGTT